CCCCCACCAGGGCACCTGGCCTCCCAGGCTGGGTACATCCTGGGACAGGGTACTCAGCTCTCAAGATGGGGTACATAGCCCCCAGGATGGGGTACAGGGCCGGTTCCTCAGAGACTGGACCCCCAGTCATCGCACAGCTGTGATTCCTGCCTGGGCCCAAAGCCAAGCGCTACTGATTTGGGTGTTACTAGGTTTTGATCAGCTATCTTTTCCCCTGTCCATTTGTGCACACAATTAAGAATTGACTTGCTATACTCTCTCCTCCTGTCGTGGCTCATAGACCTTCATGACTTTGGGGGGCTGTCTTTTCCTAACACCTCTGGGCAGTTGTTAGCAAGATTCATTTATTTACCCAATGGCTATTTACTGAGTGCCTCCAGGACGCCAATCCCCGTGTTAGGCTTAGGGATATGACAAGGAATACGACAGGTCAGGCTGAATGTGCTGTGTGATGGGCAGGGGGTTGGGGTAGGTGGTCAGCAAATCTAGTGAATAAGCAGATCCTTTCAGAGAGAGAGGATTGTGAAGACAGTAACTTGGAGTCTTGGGACACTGAGTGACCAGGCGTCTCTTTAGCTAGACTCTGCTGATTGAGAATTTGAGGAAGGCTTCCCCAAGGTGCTAACTCACGATCTGAGAGGTGAATAATGAGGAAGCTGCCATGGAGGTGGAGTGACCTAGGGTAGGAACCTTCCCAGCCAAAGGCACAATCAGGACAAGGGTCCCAAGGCAGCTGCCAACTCGTCCTGTTCAGGAACAGAAAGAAGGCCTGTGGGGCCAGATGGGGCTCAGCTCAGTGAGGCTGTGAGATGTAGTGACAGATGTTATCTTGGGCCAGATCACTAGTGCCTTAGACATGGTCGATTTAAGGTTTTTTAAAAAATTTAATTATAGTAAAATATACGTAACATAAAATTTGCCATCTTAGCCATTTTTAAGTGTATAGTTTAGTAGCGTTAAGCACATTGATACTGTTGCGTAACCGACCTCCAGAACTCTTTTTCTGTTGAAAACTGCAACTGTAGCCATTGAACAATAGTTCTCCATTCTGCCCTTCCCCACCCCTGGCACCCACCATTCTACTTCCTGTCTCTGAATTGGATTACTCTAGGTACCTTGTATCAGGGGGGTCATACCATACTGTATTTGTCTTTCTGGGACTGGCTTATTTCACTGAGCGTAATGTCCTCAGGGTTTATCCATATTGTAGCATGTATCAGAATTTCTTTTCTTTTTAAATCTGCATAATATTCTAGTGGCTGTATCTACCACGTTTTGGTTATCCATTCATCTGTGGACAGATACTTGGATCACTTTCCCCTTCTTGGCTATTGCAAAGAATGTTGGCATGAACATATATGCATAGTGATTAAGTTCTTGAATGTTCCGCTTTCCACCCATGAGGTTAGGCTGGGCATGATTTGGGTGGCACAGAGTGGAGGGGCTGGCCTAGCTGGATGCCCCTTCCCCGTGAGGGTAGGAGAGGCCAGGTGCATAGAATCATCTGCCACACTGATTGAGCCAAGAGCCCTAAGACTGGGCCTTTCAATCATCCTGGGACGGGTGGAGCTTTTCTCTGCATCTAAAATGGGAGCCATAAACCAGGTTGACTTACAGGCAGTACTTACTGGTCTGGTTGTTTATGGCCAGTGTTTTTTCCTGATTGGTTGATGTCTGTACTCTGCCTGTTGTTAAATATTTGAATATCATTCTGCTATAAACCAGCCACAGGACTTCTAACCTGGCTGTGTGTGAGTGTCTCCTACAGGGAGAGTAGGGGCTGCTGTTGAAAAGTTTACACTCTGGGCTTCCCACTAGCCAACCCAGTCAAGAGGGCCTGAGAATTTGCATTGTAAAGCTGTACAGTAGTTCCAATGCACGGTCTTAAACATGCATTGGAAATTTGGGCTTCCCCAGAAATAGACCTTGTGATGAGGACTTAAGTGCAAGAAGCTTACTGGGGAGGAGGTTCCAGGAAACACAAGTAGGGAGTGAGGAAGTGAGACAGGAAGGGAAGGAAGCCCTAAAGACGTGTTATTGTCAACCAAGTTGCCAGTGTAGAACACGGACCTCTGAGTTATGCCCTTGAGAGGTGCTGGAGCTGGGCTGTTTACCTACCTTATCCACAGAGCTCTGAAAACCCCACCAGAAAGGAAGGATTCCAAATTCTTGGAATTTTATCTAGAAAAGAAGACTAAGCAGCTTTTGTAAGTGAACTTTTAGGAGGGTTCTAACATGACAGTGATAGCTAACATTTTTGAGCTCTAATCATGGTAGACAAGGTCATCCTTATCTATCATCTTCCATAATCGCTCAGTGAACTCTGCTACGGGGGCATCCATTCCCGGCACTTCCTGGCCGTGCTGTATTTAGGAGGAGCAGTCTCTGATGGCCAGAACCCCTCGGCTGAACACTCACAGGCACTGGCAGTTAGAAGTCAGGCTGGTGTGTGTGGAAATGTGTGTGCTGAGGGATAGAGGGCAGGGTACCAATAGCATCTGTTGCGGAGACCCAGGCAGCTCCCATCTCTCATCATAGGAGGGTGTTCCAGCCCCTGTGAATAGCAGGGTATCCTCCTTATCACTGAAAAAACACCAGGTCTCATCCATTGCTGATGAGAATGTAAAATAATACAGCCACCATGGAGAACACTTTGGCAGTTCCTCATTAATTTAAACATAGAATTACTATATGTTCCAGCAATTGTGCTCCTAAGTATACATCCAAAATAATTAAAAACAGATGTTCAAACAAAAACTTGTACATAAACGTTCATAGTGGCATTATTCCCAATAGCCAACAGCTGGGAACAACACAAATAGCTGTGAACTAATCAATGAATGAACAAAATGTGTTACATTCACACAATGGAATATTATTCAGCTGTTAAAAAGGAGTGAAGTACTGATACATGCTACAACATGGATGAACCATGAAAACATTTGGCTAAGTGAAAGAGATCAGACACAAAAGGCCAGATACTGTGTTATTTTATTCATATAAAATCTCTAGGATAGTTGAATCCATAGAAACAGAAAGAGAAAATGGATTTGTGGTTGCCAGGGGCTGGGGAAGGGAGTCATGGGGAGTGACTGGTTCGTGGGCATGAGGTTTCCTTTGGAGATGATGAAAATCTTGTGGAATTAGTGGTGGTGGTTGCACAGCATCGTGAATGTACCAAATGCCACTGAATTGTGTACTTTAAATGGTTGAAGTGGTAAATTTCATGTGATGTGTGTTCTACCACAAATTTGTACAAAAGGAACTCCAGGTATTCTCCAGCCCTGAGATGCAAGGTATATTCTGTTTCTCAGGTGGGAAGCAAACCTGTGTGGCATGTGTACCCCAGGGTCCCCCAGCCAGAGATGATTCTCCTGCATGGCTGTAACTAAGAGCACTGGGCTGGAGCTGAACCTCAGAGATTGGCCTCACTCTTGTAGGAATAGCACAACCAGAGGTTGCTGGAAACCTCCCCTAGTGGAGAAACAAGCCCTGCTTCCTGGAGAAGCCAGGGCTGGGCCCAGCTTCTGTAGAGAGGCAGAGCAGCACTGGGCGGGGGAGTATGTGCCCAGCTGGAAAATTGCGGGGCTTCTTGTCTTAAATATAATATTAAATCGGCACCTTTAATTAGTACACTTAGAAAAGGTCACTAGCAATTACCTGGGACACAAAGAAGGCATGCTCAGGCAAGAGCCCATGAGGAAGCTGAAAAGGACCGTTTTGAGCAGCACATAATTGAGGGGAAAATGGATAAAAGTCCAGGAAATTACAGGGTGGGTGACAGCAGCTGATGGCCCCATCCCTGTCCTGCCCAGCGCCCCACTTCTTGGGAGGACCTGAGCGTCAGGCCTGAGAGAGCCATTTGGGATATTGGACCCAGTCATGCAACCTTGGCTGGAAGGCCAGGATGGTCTTCCCAGAATCTCCTTGGCCAGCTGGGAACTTGGCCCCAGATCCGCCACCTGGGCTGGGCCCTGAGGTACAGCAGGTGAGGACTGCGGTCCAGGGGGCTGCAGGCTGCCGTGGACTCATTGTTGCACCTAGACAAGTAAGGTGCTTATGGGCTTCAGTTTCCCCATCTGGAATCTGCCCAAGCCTTTGGGAAGTAACTCAGTGTTTCTCAAACTTTGCCACTAGAGAATATCTGAGAGCAATGGAGAGGAAATGTATACTCCTAGAAGTCAGGGGAGGCTGGAAATTCATTTACAGCTTTAGGTTATATCTTTACAAATAAATTAAACATAAATAAATTAGGCCGGGCATGGTGACTCGCACGTGTAATCCCAGCACTTTGATAGGCCAAGGTGGGCAGATCACTTGAGGTCAGGAGTTCAATATCAGGCTGGCCAACGTGGTGCAACCCCATCTCTACTAAAACTACAAAAAAATTAGCTGGGCATGATGGCAGATGCCTGTAATCCCAGCTACTGAGGAGGCTGAGGCAGGAGAATCACTTGAACCCGGGAGGTGGAGGTTGCAGTGAGCCGAGATCGTGCCACTTGCACTCCAGCCTGGGTGACAGAGCGAGACCTTGTCTCCAAAAAAAAATTAATTAATTAATCAATCAAATGCTGCCCCCAATGTCTTCCCATTTGTTTTAGTATAAAACACTTATTTGTCATCGGGCAATGCAAATGCTTTGGAAAGATGTGCTTGGTTTATCTGTGGCTTTCACATACTTCCTCTTACACTATCGAGAAAGAGCAATGAACTGGGAATCTGGGAGTTTGGAAACCTGGGTTTGAATCCTGCCTTTGTGGCTCACCATTGTACTTTGGACAACTTGTTAAATGCCCTCAGCTTTTCCAACTCTGAAATGGGAGGGTTGGACTCTGAAGATGTTCCACGATTTTACTCCTCCATCTCACCTTCTCCCATCACCTTGGATGCTGCCGTTTCCTACTATGCTGTTCTGCTGCCTGACCTTGGAGAAGCTGCTTCGCCTCCCTGAGCCTCAGCTTCCTAATCTGCAAAATGGGTAGAATAACAACTACCAAACAGACTTGCTGGGAGGATTTAATGAGAGAATCCACATGAATGGACCTTATGTCTGAAATATCGTCAGAGCCCAATGAATGCCCAATGTCTTCATTTTCCAAATCTTGGGCTACCTGTTAGGATCTGATAGATCATGTCCATGAAGTCCTGAATCTTGAGTTTACATATTGAGTGTTGAGATGTCTGTGCTGTCGAAACAAATGTAGACTCTGAGCCCCAACTGCCTGGGATGTAGATTCCAGCTCTGCCATTTGCTGACCGTGAGGCCATGGTAATCACCTCATCACTCTGTTGCCTAATCCGTTAAATGGGGAGAATCGCATTATGGACTGAATTAGTGCGTGGAAATAGCTCAGCTTAGGCCTGGCTTATGATTTGGGCTCAAAAATGTTAGCTAGCCTCATCATGTTAGAACTGTTCTAGAGGTTCTTTTCTAGATAAAATTCCAAGAATTTGGAATCCTTTCTTTCTATCTAGCTTGATTTTCAGAGCTATCTGGTAAATGTGAGAGTCAGTATTTGGGGCAGGTGGTGTCTGTCTTGTTTTATAGGGGAAACTGAAACCTGGAAATAAGTGATTTGCCTAAGGTCATGACTCCGATCTGCTCACCCCTTTGAGAATCAGATGAAGACTATAGACACTGTCTTCGGAAAATGACGCACTATACACTCATAACATTTTGTGTACCATTCCAGTGAGTTTAAGGACCTCCTGAAGCTAAGGAGACCAACCATCCCAGTTTGCCTGGGGCTTCCTGGTTTTAGCATATGTGCTGGGAAATGCTTCAGTCCTGGGCAAAGCAGGGCAGTTGGTGACCCTACCTGAAAGTTACACAGGGGAGCTGTGAGCCCCAGGAGAAGATGCCCTTTTCTTCTTAGGGAGGGTATAGGCCAGGCATCCTGAAGCCTAGGCGCCCTCAGGCCAGGGCTTTGCTTTCTGGTAAGGGATGACACCTGCCTCTCAATCCCCTTCTTGAGGATGGGAACTAGACCTTGTCACCTAGTTCTAGACTGGAGTTCCTTGAGGCTGAGCTACATCTTCCTAACCTCTGCATACTCCAGTGCTCATCATAAGGCCAGCACCTGGTCACTCTTGAATAAATGCCAAAAGATTTTGCAAAGTATTCCGAATTAGGAAAGGCACTTCCATTTGCAAAAGACAGAAGTCCAACTAAACTGACTGAGGCCAAAGAAAAGGTTGCAAGGGTGATTATTAGCTCATATAGCTGGAAAGTCCAGAGGGTGGAGCTAATATCAGGCACAGCTGGTGGCAGACCCTCAGAAAGCCATCAGGAATCTGTCTCTCCCTACATCATCTGTCTCTGTTTTCCTCCTTGTGTGTTTCATTCTCAGGCTCTTCTTGTGTGTGGTGCCAAAGATGGCTGCCCACAGTGCCAATGAGCAACCCCCATGAAAGAGAGCTCCTCTCTCCCAGTAGTTCCAGCAAAAGTCCCAGGGCTGGCTTTGATTGGCTAGTTTGGGTCACATGCTCATCCCTGAACCAATCATCATGACCAGGGAAATGGCATGCTCTGATTGGCTAGCACTGACTTATGTGCTCATCTTGGAACATAGGACTTGAAATATTGGGGGCCTGTCCTCATCTGAGCCACTTGGAGAAGGAGGTCTTCAAATTAAAATCAGAGAAAGTGGGGCAGGCTGAAGTCACAACTGTGTTTTATACACACAGAACATGGTGAGTGATGGTCCCCTGATACCATCATGACGCACTGTGAAAAGTGGACCAGGGCAGAGGTGGGGTACCTGGGTCAGAGCCCACAGATGCACTGGGGCCTTATGATGATCCGTGGCCTGCTGGAGGGTTGCTGAGTGGCCACTCCCTGCTGAGAGTTCAGCCACCTGGGCAAGGTAGGAAGACATAAACCTGACCTCCCATATTTTCCGTCTGCTCTCTCTTTTGGCTACTCCAGGTTCTTCTGTGACCCAGTTGCTGGCCCGAGACATGGACAATGACCCCCTGGTGTTTGGCGTGTCTGGGGAGGAGGCCTCTCGCTTCTTTGCAGTGGAGCCTGACACCGGCGTGGTGTGGCTCCGGCAGCCACTGGACAGAGAGGTATGACTTGCTCATACCCCTGCCCCAGTTCTCTCCTGGGGACAGGAGGAGACTCTGGGAGAAGGATGGCCCACCATCTTTTGGGGTCTTCCTCTAAGACTCCATTCTGACGCCGAAGTGGCATCTTTGTGCCTGAATGGTATTCTTCTTCAAAGGTCAATGCTGGTGTCTGGACTTAGGGTTGGCATGGGTAGTTAAAGGTGTCTCCAAGCAAGCAGCTACATTGGAGAGGCAAGAAGAACAGTGACCCTGGGTTCATCCCTTGTAGAATGGGGCTCCATGGAGGGTACAAGTCTACCCCTACCCTGAGTAAATATTCCCCCAATATCCAGAGAAGCAGGAATTGACGGCATGGTAGCCCTTAGCAAGTTAAGGTAAAGGTGTGAACACATCCCCAACCCTTACCCTCTTCTTGTGTTTGAGGAAGGAACCATAGAGGTATGTAGTGACTTGCTCAGTGTCTCACAGCATCTTAGAGGCAGAGCCACGACTAGCACCCAGGATGCTTGACTTCTGTCTTTTATTGCTCTCTTAAAGCAAGGATCCATATTCCACACTACTTCCCTAACCCAAAGGGCAATGCTAGTATTTTAGGGAAGCCTTTGGATGCCTGGTTCCAGGCAAGCTCCTAGGGCAATCCTGGAGCTCCTCCCGCCCCATTTAGGGCCCAGGACCCAGGACCCAGCACCTCAGCGCCGACTAAATGCCCCCCTCCCTCTCTCACTTTTCTTTCAGACCAAGTCAGAGTTCACCGTGGAGTTCTCTGTCAGCGACCACCAGGGGGTGAGTGTCCCCTGGGACCCTAGAGACATGTTCCTGGGGGGTCACAGGATTTCTGGGCCCCTAGGGTGGAAGAGGCCAGAGTCAGGTGGCAGTGCTAATTGCCTGCCTTTCTCTTGCCAGGTGATCACACGGAAGGTGAACATCCAGGTCGGGGATGTGAATGACAACGCACCCACATTTCACAATCAGCCCTACAGCGTCCGCATCCCTGAGGTAGGAGCCACCAGGGTCGCACTTGGGGATATTGAAGACCTGCTGCTCCCCAGACCACCAGGGTGTAGGTGAAGAGTCAGGTGGGGAGAGCAGCTCTGGCTCTTCTGCCCAGACTGCAGCCCAGGTGCCAACTCTGAGCAGGTTGGTGAACATGCTGATACCCTGGGGATCAGGGCCCAGCCTGGGGTTGGGAAGAGCAGTTGGGCCGGTAGGTTGGGAGCCTCATGCTGGAGGCTGAGCCCCACACCTCCAGCTGGAGTCAATGGTGGAACAAGAGTTGAGAGAAGCGGGTGTTGCACCCTCTTTCCTTCCACTCATATCCAAATATGGGCCTTGGGCAGGGTGGGTGGGCAGGCCTAACACCAGACCTTCCTGCTTTGGCCAGAATCAGGTCCCTCCAGGACTCAGGGAGCATGCAGTTCCAGGAAGGGGCTTTCCCTAGCCCCACGCTCTCCACCATGGTCTCCCAGGCCCCTGTACTGTGTGCTCTGAGTATGTTTGCATGAGTCCATGCGTGTAAAATCAAGCCATTGCTGGTAATTGAGAAGTACAAATTATTGCATTACAAACGGTTCGTTAATAAGCTGGCTGCCAGCTCCTGATGGCACCAGGGTTCCCACTGCTTGCGGCCCCTTGCCTGGGTGGCTGATGGCAGTCTTATGGTCTGGCAGTTAGTGATTCAAAGACTCTGAAGCGGGAGGGTAAAGGGCTTCTCGCTGGGTGTCCCTTGGGCCTGCCCTTGGGGTTTTGGGCTGGAGGGTGGCAGTGAAGGTTTGGGATGGGAACAGTGGGAGATAGAACCCTCTGGAAAGGCAGGTTGGCACCGTGTCATTTGAGTTCTAATCCCTTGATCCAATGAGTGATCAGGGAGTAACAAGTCTTGAGAGAATATCATGGTCAGTTCATGGATGAGACTGGGCATGGGAGAGTGACTTGCCCCAGGTCACACAGCTTTAACTTCGAGCCTCCTGGCTTCCAGGGCAGGCTTAGCCTGCCTCAAGGGTGACGAGGTCTTGCTCATACACCCCACTCCCTGGCCTCTGTTACTGAGCTGTGAGCCAAGAGTCCTGTGCTGGCACCAGATGGAAGAGAGGACACATGTGCAGGTGGGGATGCAGCGGAGGTGCCATGCCCTTCACCTGCCTGGGGCGGGAGAGAACTGGGGAGCCCGCAGTCCTAAACGTGGGAGGACGGTGCCCTGAGCTGTGGCCAGTGTGCCCAGGGACTGCAGCTTGGCTCCTGCTCTCTCTCATTTGGAAGTCTCCCTAATTTAATTAAGGGTCTCTACGTGCCAGCCTGCACTCCGGGCCTGGGCTCAGAAACCAAGGGCATGGCTCAGAGTTAATGAGCCTTGGACCCATTGCTCAGCTGCCATCCTGGCAGGCATGGCTGCCCTCCGTCTTCCCTCTCATGGGGCAGCAGGGAGCCGCACTGGCAAGGGGACGAGGGGTCACGTCCCTCCTCTCCCGCCCTTGGGCTGCAGGCCAGCCTTTTCCTCTCTCCTGCTTCAGGAGATGTGACTTCCAACACTCGGCCCTATTGGAATCCCCTGGGATTCTCCAAAGGCGTGTGCCTCCAAGGAGAGAGTCTCTTCAGTCATTCATTCATTTATTTAACAAATATTTATTGAATGTCTGCTGTGGGCTTGGCTCTGAGCCAGGCTGTCATTGTGCAGAGACCTGGGAGGCCGCAGGAATGTGGAATGACAGGAGTTAGAACTAGAGGCAGGAGACCCTGGGTCCAGCCCCTGCACTGTTCCCAGCTTGCTGGCTGTGTTTGGGCATGTCACTTCACCTCTCTGTGCCACGGCCCCCCCTTATCTAATGAAAACAAAGGGCAGGTGGATACAGTGGCCTGCCTGATACCCATCTGACAAGGAGAGGGCAGGCTGAGAGGGGCCAGCTGCGAAGGACACACTGTCCTTGGAGGAAGGCCCATGTGGTTTACTTGCTCATGTGTAAACATCCCCGGTTGCTTTAGTGGCCTGATACTCGATGCCCTGCTTGGGGCTGCTCAGTGTGGCCAGTGGGGATGTGGTGTCAGCTGGACGGAAGCCTGGCCACTCCTGATCTGAGGCATCTTGGCATTGACCAGCCCTGGCCTGGTGTGGTCACCTGAGCTGGAACCTAGCTGCCTGGCTCTGTCCACAGCTGGAGTACCAGCCCAGAGTCTGCTGGCCCCTGGCCCGGAAGTGAGCCCAGGGTTTCCTGCTTGCATTCAGGTCACCCTGGAAACCCCAGGCCCCTGCTCTTTAGAGTGTGATTCAGCAGCAAAGGACCCTGCAAATGTGAACAGGGTGACGATGCAAGCCAGAGAAATGGGGTGGGGGAGCACTGCAGACCCTGTTAGGTGTGAATGCCAGGGTCTGCCAGGGTGATCAGAGAAATCTCAGCAGGCTTCCTGGAGGAGGTGGGTTTCCAGCAGAATCTGGCTGAGGTAAGCAGTGGTCGCTCTTGTGCTGTTTTGTGGGAGGAGAGAAACTGGAGTCAGGACACCTGGGTTCTAGTCTGCTGGCTTCAGGCCCTACAGCTTTCAAACTAGGGAGTTGAACCAAGCCCCTTCCAGGGCTGACATCATATGATCAGAGGATGAAACCCAGCAGGAGAAACTCCTTCCCATCCTTCAACACCTTATTGTTCTTTGCAGGATGGCGGAGAAGCTCTGGTGGCCGCCTCCATTCAGTTCCCCTCTTGGCCATCTCAGCCATCTAGGGCCCTAATAATGATGGATACTATTGTGTGCAGAACCCAGGGATTGGCACAAGGAGAAAGTTACAGGGTGGCAAATCCAGGTCTATCTAAGGAAGAGCTTGCTAATGATAAGACTGCCCACACACACCCATGCACACACAGTCTGTGCCCCTACCTTGCTGAGAATGTGTTGAGCTCCCCATCCCTGGAGTTATGCAAGCAGAAGTAGGAGGACCACTTCCCTCCAGCTGTCTAGCACTGCATGTTGGGGCAGTGATGAATCAGAGGGTCCCAAACATGCCCCAGCAGAATTTCCCAGGGGACTGGTTAGGAAGTATATTCCCGACCCCTGCAATTGTGAATCAGTAGGCTGGGGAGAGATAGCCCAGGAAGCTGCATTTTTAACAAATTCCTCTGGTAATGGTGAGAACAGCCAGGTCTGGGGAGCCTTGGAGGATCCCACTAGAGGTTTTCTGAGAGGTGCTGAGGGCAGCCCATCTTGGATGTGAACTTTCAACCCCTCCATGGCTGCCTGGAGACATGGCCCACCTGGACCCAAGTCCTCAGGCCAGGAACAGCAGGGAATGGGAGGCAGTTCAAGACCAGGCATTGCCCTGCTGCCTGCCTCTCCTGGGCCCCCACTCCCTCTGAAAGCTTCTGCCGGGTCCAGCCCCCAGCTCGGGAGAAGCCGGGCAGGTGTGTGTTTGGGTTTGTTTGTTCTGGTTCCCCTCCTGCCCACCCCACTCCCCTCACTAAGCTGTTCTCCATGTAATTATCCATTTTATCAGGGTGAAAGGCCCGGCAATTCACTTGTCGAAGTCCTAACGAGGCAGCGTAGATGCTTTCAAGTCCGTAAAGAAAAGGGAAATCCTGCTAGAATTGGCAACTTAATTCACCAAGCCAGCCTCGACAGACCTCATTAAGTCCCCGTGTATTCATTTCAAGCTAATGGCTGTCATGCTGACTGCTGTTTGATTTGCTGTAATAGACTTTTATGGCGTTCCAATTTGCTCAAACGTGTTTGCCTGTGTCTGTGCCCAGCGGTGCTGCTCCAGTACCTCCGTTAGGGGCGCGTGCCTGCCTCACTGACCTTCAGCACTGCTCCCTCCCTGATCCTCCCAGGGCCACCCCCTCAGCCCTCCAGTGTGCCCCAGGGAGGTGACCCTGGTGCTGGGGTGTTTAGGCAGGAAGATGGATGTGAGGTTAGAAGTCAGGTGGTGCCAGGTGGCTCACTGGGTCAGGGAATCTGGAAGACCTGCTGGAGTCTCAGAGATGGCTGTGTCCTTGAAGTTCTGACAAGTTCAGCCTCCTTAGCTGGGCAGTCTAGGCCTTTATCCATCTAGCATCAACCTACCTTTCCCAACTTATTTTTCAGTATTCTCTTCTGCTATTCCTTCATATGAACTCTCCTGTCAGCCATAGAGTCAATTCAATGGCAATGGATACATGTCTGTTTCTCTCTCTCTCTCTCTAACACACACACACACACACACACGCACACACACATTGTACTTTTCTAACTAGTACTGGAGTTCAGCCTAACTCAACTCTGCCTGTCCTTCAAAGCCCACATCTCACCTACCATGCTCGGATCTGACCTTTTTTTTTTTTTTTTTTTAATGAACACAACGAACATTTGTTGAATAGCTATAGGATCAGGGATTCTGAGCTGATTTGGGCATGCAGGGTAGGAAAAAGATGCTACCATTTGCCAGCCATGTGACTTTAGACAAGTGACTTAACCTCTCTGGATTTCAGCTTTCTTATCTGTAAGATGAGCAACAATATCTGCCTTGCAGGATTGCTATGAGAGAATGTAGCTAGGCAAAGTCCTTAGCACAGCCTGTGGCTCATGGTATATTCAATAAAAGGTTGGTAATTAAGACCAAGGTCTTTGTCCTTGGTGAAGGCAATTTTACTAAGAGAAAGACAAGTAAGTTAATGTCTAACTACATCTAAATGTATTAAATGCCACGGTAGCTTTGTATGTGCATAGTGTATTGCGAACAGTGTGGTCTGTACATGGGGGCTATTTGTTTGGGGCCTTAGAGGCTGAGTAGGAGTTCGTTAGAGAAAGAGACTATGGTGTCTACGAATATCATTCACTTTCTGGGATCCTATAGCTTATTTTCATATATTGGAATTTCCCAGAGGAAAGTCAACTCTGATTTATGATTAGAGACACTGCTGAGGAGGGACAGTGGCTAGGTGGGTGTGTGTCCTTTGCAGGTCTCCACTGTTACCTCACGGAAATAAAGCCAGGCTGGAAGTGAGCCTCTGGGTCCCTGCCCAGGTCTCTGTGACAGGTGCTGCACAGATCCTTGTCCGATGGCCTCAGGTGACCAGCTTGAGGCAGGGATGAGGCTACTATGGGGAAGGGCTGGAGCTGGGGTGAGATCCTGGGAGCCTGAGAGATGGAGTGTCCTCGCCTGAGCCTCAGTGCTGGCTGGGATCAGGGTCAGAGCCAAAGCCATGCCTCCTGGCCCTGGGCCCCACTCACCTGAACCACCTCTCCATGTCCCTTAACAAGGATGAAAGCTGCTCATTCCCTGTGCCTCCTTACTAGAGATGGGAAGGCGTAGAGAAGGGTATCCCTGGATGCCATTTGTCAATGAGATCAAATACATAATTTATTTCTCCGGTGACAGTAATAATAAATTTATTGTTGTTGTTGGTTTCCTGTGTGCCCAACACTGTTTTCTGCATGGAATCTCAGGGAGCCCTCACAACCACCTCCTGGGGCAGCCACTCCTGTCATTCCCATCCTACTGAGACAGACACTGAAGTAGGACAGTTACATGGCATGCCCAAAGCTAATCAAGGGATGGAGCCAGGATTAGGAGGCAGGCCTGGGGTGGCACAACTTTTCGACAAGTAGCTTCACTTCTACCTGCAAAGCAGAAATAATTATACCTGCCTTGCAAACATCATAGTGAGGATTAAAGTAAATGAGATCACTCACGTAGAGTGCTCAGCCCAGGCCCAGGATAAGTGCGTGCTCAGGAAATGGTTGTGGCTGTTGTTTGTATGTCCATCTCTCCCACCAGACTAAGCAAAGACTGAGCTTGGTCATCTGTGCATCCTCAGCACCCTGCCCTGGGCCTGGCATATGGACCGTGCTCGGTGTCTTTTGAGTGAATGGAATTCACAAATGCAGACAGCCATGCGGCAACCTCTGCCTCTTGAGTGGTGTGAGGACAAAAGGAGCATTTACATGAAGTGCTTTGCCTTGGCCAGCTGGTCTACCAAGGTGAGGGCTTCCTTATTGTGCATGGGCCAGGGCTGGGTGAAGAGTGGTGAGGCCTGGCACTGAGCTGGCAAGGGCACTTTCACCTGTGCCCTGCACCCCACTTTCTTCCCAGGCACTGAAAGCATCCTTGCTCTCTGCTGGTGCCCACTAGTTCCTGGATCTCAGCCCTGTCATCCTGTGTTCTTTGGCATGTGAGGAGCCCTGGAGTGGTGGCCAGA